AAGCTGATTTACGTTCGGTCCGAGTCCTAGGCGGTTCCTAATTCAGGCTCGCCAGGCTCGCCAAATTTTGATAGGGTTCATTCGTTTCGTAGACTTTCATTCGTTCCGGAGACTTTCATTCGTTTCGTAGACTTTCATTCGTTCCGGAGACCTTCATTCGTTTCAGAGACTTTCATTCGTTTCGGAGACTTTCATTCGTTTCGGAGACTTTCATTCGTCCGGGGACTTTCATTTGTTCCGGAGTCTCATTCGTGAGAGGGAAGACGTTCAAACTGACCTATGGCGCTGTTTATTACTTACGCTTGGGAAGGATGTTTCGTTTATATCAATGTTGATATTATATTGAAATATTTAAAAGATTGCATTATCTTTTCCCAGTGTTGATGAAAGAACAGTTTTTTTTACCTAAGTAACTATCGCTACTGTAGTCAGTGGGCCAGGTTGTTGGAGGACTTTTAAATCTTTCTAGAAAAGAGTGATAAAATTTGAATAAAAATCTTCATTTGTTTGCCATATATCATCCTTTTCGTGATGTAAAATTAATTTCTATTGCTTTATAGTTGCCGACGTATATTTTTTCCCTTCCTTCAAATAACACAATATCCTGTGACCGATGGGTTGTGGTTAATTTAATTGAGATTCATTTCACTGCAATTTATTTACTATGTAATCCTGCGTGAATTTTGTTGGGAGTGTCCGATTTTGTTCAGTAACTGTCGTATTAATACTTGCGTTGTCGACAGACCTATTCTGAAGATCTTTACCAACCATTATTATTGATTTCAAATTTCATGTATTTCCATTAGATAGAGGTTAGGTTCAGATCTCGATATTAATAACGGTGGAGCATTCCACATAGATCTTGATAAATAGGTCTGATATTACTCTCGAACGACATTCACTGTAATTGTCTAACTATCCAATGAAGTCAGCAAGAAACCGCACCAATAATCTCCACACCTTATCGTAGAACAATTATTTTGTTTGATATTGTAATAAAATGTTCATGAAAGCGAATGACGCGAAGCCGGAATGAAACAAGCAACCTCCGAATATTTTTGTTGAACTTGCAATAGGAAAGTAACCTCTCCCCGCAACAGGAATAACCTTCCCGCTGTCTAATGTCCCCGTTGCAACAGGAAGGGGAATGCAGCTTTCCCCGCAACAGGAAAAGCCTTCCCGCTGTCTAATGTCCCCGTTGCAACAGGAAGGGGAATGCAGCTCTCCCCACAACAGGAATAAACTCCCCCCAGAATAACGTTCTCGTTGCAACAGGAATGGGAATGCAGCTTTCCCCGCAACAGGACCTAACCTAACCTCCCCGCAGCAGGAATAACCTTCCCCCAGACTAATGTCCCCGTTGCAACAGGAAGGGGAAGGCATCTCTCCCCGCAACAGGAATACCTAACCTAACCTAGCTCCCCGCAACAGGAATAACCTCAATGCAAACTAATATCCCTGTTGCACTAGGATGATAAGGAAGCTGTCACAAGAGGAATAACCTCCCCGTATTCCCCGTAACCACAAATGAGAGGAGCCTCGTGTTGTGGTGTCGTAGAATATGTCAGGATTTGTTGCGCAGTGCGATGACGAACGACCTCGCGGGAAAAAGAAACCTTCCATTAACTCTGATGTGCCGTCCACGCTATTAGTTTATTAAGATTATTACTGCCGCCTCTAATCCAGATAATCTCGGCTCATATCATGCCTTCTGAACGTGGAAAACATGGTGATGATGAGGCGATGATAGTATACCGAGACACGTACACTGTGTGCTGCACGTACACTGGGTGTGCTGATGCACGTACACTGCGTGTGCTGATGCACGTACATATCGTGTGATACTATGATGATCTCTGCATGTGACACACATACAGACACACTGTGACACACATACACTGCGTGTGACACACACACACACTGCGTGTGACACACACACACACTACGTGTGACACACATACACTGCGTGTGACACACATACACTGGGTGTGACGCACACAGACACACTGCGTGTTACACATAACCTTGTGACCTTATGATGAGTTTGAGACTTTGTAGTCCACGGGCACGCTGATGCGCCGCCTTCGTCCTCCTCCGTCTCCGAGTCGTCGATAGGCAAGTCCCTCGGGTCCGGGATAAAATGTTGAACGTTTTCCGTCTATTTGCCCTCCATTTGGCCAGCTGATGCAAGATGCTGTTGCTTGTCACTTGCTGAGGGAAGTTTCCCTTAACTGGACAATCCAGGATCTTTCTCAACCACTTGTCCAGTCGTTTCTTGAGAGTCGCAAGGGTAAACTACCCTGCTCTCAGCGCTTTTGGCAAGGCATTAAAGAGCCTCGGTCCTATCACGGACAGTGATCCGTCGCTAAGAGTCTGTACTCTGGACGGAGCACGGTTATTGAATGGGGGAACCTACACTGTCTCCCCTCCTTTCGTTGTAATATGCCACTATTTTGGAGGTCTAACTTTCAAAGTTTGGAGCCTGTCCGATTATCATCTTCCAAGTGTACAATATGATGTATCTCTCTCTTCTCCTCTTCAGTGAGTACAGTCCCAAGTGTTTCAGTCTGTCCCAGCAATTCAGCTCAAGTTCCCTCATACCGCTGATCCTGTACGTGGAGGTCCGCTGGACTGACTCCAGTTTCCGCGAAGCGTCCGCCTTGAGCAGTGCCCAAAGCTGGCAGCAGTACTCAAGATTGGGGACCACGAGGGCTCTGAAGAGTGTAATTATTGGCGCTGCTTCTCTCGTTACAGACACACTGAAAATGACACACACATTGCGTGTTACAAATGGAGACACACTGCTTGTGACACACACTGCGTGTTACACATACAGATACACTGCGTGCGACACACAAACACACTGCGTGTGACATACACAGACACACTGCTTGTGACACACACAGACACACTGCTTGTGACATACACAGACACACTGCTTGTGACATACACAGACACACTGCTTGTGACACACACAGACACACTGCTTGTGACACACACAGACACACTGCGTGTGACACACACAGACACACTGCGTGTGACACACACAGACACACTGCGTGTGACACACACAGACACACTGCTTGTGACACACACAGACACACTGCGTGTGACACACACAGACACACTGCGTGTGACACACCCAGACACTGCGTGTGACACACATAGTTATTTGCGTGCCGCGCAGTCCAGTTATTTGCCCGGCAATTACCTGCCCTGTAGTTTGCTGCGTCGCCGGCTTGTCGTCCCTGCGCTGTCGCTTCTTATTTATAAACTGCATGCCTGGTTAGCAGTCTACTTTTGTCAGCAATCTACCTTGGTTAGCGATCTACCTTGGTTAGCAATCTACCTTGGTTAACGATCTACCTTGGTAAGCGATCTACCTTGGTTAGCAATCTACCTTGGTTAGCAATCTACCTTTATTAGCAATCTACCTTGGTTAGCAATTAATCTGCCTAATTGGTTAGCGATCTATTTTGGTTAGCAATCTACCTTGGTTATCAATTTACTCTCTCTAGGATTCTAGCTTAGTTAGCAATCTACCTTGATTATCTATCTACCCTTTTTATGAATCTACTTTTGTTTTGACCCTAAAAAATTAGAAAGATTCCGTCTCTATAATAGGTAGCGCCTAAGACTCTGGGAGCGCGTAAATCACCTTCTCTATGTCGGCTTTTTGGTCAACTTTCCGCCCCCATGTCAGACAGCTGCGAGAGTTTGGTCCCTTCTCTGGCGGCCGCTGGGCGGCACGTATTAGGCTCGTATCCGTATCCGGGGCAGCTCTGGCCGAGCCTGCCTATGTGAAAGAAATCCTCCCCATCCGTACAAAACCTGGTATCTGGCAATGATTTACAACATGTGCCACACTCCTAAATCATAGTTTCTATGGCCGAATTGTACATATGTATGAATTGTACATATTGTACATATGTACGTTAAATTCGAATTGTACATATGCACATGATTTGCATTAGTAAAGTATTAAGAAGAAAAAGTGCAACTTTAAATTTCCAGTTAATAGCCTAAATCATAAATTTAAGCAATGGAATACGAATGCAAACGAATAAAAACGAATATGAACGTGCGTCGCGCCGTATGCGTATACGCATACGGGCACTGGATTCTTGTAGTCATGCAGGTACTGGGCAAACTCGCCCATGAACACTAAGACGTCTTCCTCCCGGTGCTCGAGGCTTGAAGTGCATCCCTTGCATGGGCAGTTTGCAGGCTCGGTAGACTTGGCCGAGCCAACTCTTGTCATACTCCCAGGAGAATCTAAAGTCGGCAAGGAGATTCTGACTAGTCGCTGATTTCGATCGGGTGGTCTAGCAGACCCAGGATAACTTAATCCAACTGTAGCGAGACTTCCGCAGAAGCTGACGAATTTACTTCGAATTTTGTTAGGGGAATCTAGCTTGCCCTAGGGAAGCCCTGGCCGGTAACTTTATTTTTTTTTAATTATTTAAGTCATTAAACCCTTACCTAATATCTTTATTAAAATTATTAAGGATTAAACCTGTAATTGAGAACTCTACGTTTACTTCCACCGCCCAGATTCTAGGTGGCGCGTCGGTAGCGGGGAACTTTATTTTTTAAATTATTATAGCCATTAAGCCCTTACTTAATATCCACTGAAATTATCAAAGCCATTAAACCTTTACTCAAGAACTCCACGTTTACTTCCCACGTCCAGATTCTAGGTCTCGCATCTGTGGCCGGGAAGTTTATTTTTTTTTAATTATTAAAGCCATTAAACCCTTACTTAATATCTTTATTGAAATTATTAAATATTAAATCTATACTTAATTAACTCTACGTTTACTTCCCCCCTCCAGATCCTCGGTGGCGCGTCGGTAGCGGGGCACTTTATCTTTATTAAAAATTAATAGAGCTATTTATTAGAGCTATTATTTAGCTAATTAAATTATTAGAGCTAATTATTAGAGCTATTATTTAGCTAACATTTACTCAAGAACTCCACGTTTACTTCCCTCCTCCAGATCCTCGGCCGCGCGTCAGTAGCGGGGCACCAGAAGGCCCTCAGCCTCCGTCGGCAGACCGGCGCCCTCCGTCGCGCCCTCGCTGAGGTCAGGTCACTCACGCGCCGTGACCTCAGTGACCTCGCACTTGACCTCGCGCGCTACAGCTCCTCCATTGGCCACGCCTGTGCTGTCATACACGTAATTACTATGTTAAATTATATTTAGGATTACGAGTTGACCAGTCAATTTTATGAATTTTTTATAGTATATAAATGAGTATAGTTTCAGTGTTATATCGAATTTAGTTCATACATTCAACTCCAGGAATTTTATATAGAATATAAATAATTGATTTACTAAGTTCTATTTTAGATTTCGAGTTCACGCATTCAACTTGGTTTAGAAAATACGTATTTCATAGCATCAGTGGTATTTTGGATTACGAGTTCTAAGAAGCAAGTTGATGAACTTCTATTTAGAATGCGAAAGAATATCGAATGAATTAGCATGCATTGGTTTTATTCATATTAAGAATTCTATAGGTATTCTAGGATTGATTCTAGGATTACATGACAATTATCGATTCCGGCTGGTAGTCATAGTGCAATTGGAGTAGTTCATCATGTACATTTTACTGGAATATCGTTGTCAACACATCTGCTCACTGTTGTCTTGTGAGGTAATAGTGCTCACTATTGTCTTGTGAGATTATAGTGAGGTAATATAGTCTTGTGAGGTATTAGTGCTCACTGTTGTCTTGTGAGGTAATAGTGCTCACTATTGTCTTGTGAGATTATAGTGAGGTAATATAGTCTTGTGAGGTATTAGTGCTCACTATTGTCTTGTGAGGCAATAGTGCACACTATTGTCTTCTGAATTAATAGTGCTCACTATGATGGTGATGCTCACTACGATGGTGATGCATGATGGTGATGCTCGCTATGATAATGATGCATGACGCTAATGCTCACTACGATGGTGATGCTCGCTATAATGTTGATGCTCACTATGATGGTGATGCTCACTATCACTATGATGGTGATGCTCACTATGATGATGGTGCATGATGGTGCCCAGGATGGCGGTGTGATGGCGTCATCATCGGACGTGTGGGCGCGGGTGCAGGAGGGCGAGAAGTTGCTGGCGCGCACGGAGGCCGAGAAGCGTGACCTCAGAGACAAGATCTCTGACCTCAACACCAGGGTCTCTGAGCTCAGTGCCGCCCTCAGAGATAAGGAGCTATGCATCCTGGACCTCAACAGGAGGGTGGTGAGTGTGGTGAGGGGTGGTGAATGCATCCTGGACCTAACAGGAGGGTGGTGAGGGCTGGGGAGGGGAAGGGTAAATATACGCGAGTATTTTCACCTATTATTAATAGACCTTTGCCTTCTGACTACAATATTTTCCCCTTATTAGCCTACAGAATTAGACCCCTTCTTCCTAACAAGACCTTTGTCTCCTAACAATACCAATTTGTCCACCACATCGAATCTATTCACATATATATTTACATATTCACATCCTAACACTGCACATACCCATGGTTGAACTAGTATAAGGTTGACCCATCAGAAGCCCATTTTTGCGGATGTAGCTCGTTGTTCGCCTGTGACGTCTCTGATCTCAGTGACGTCACGGGCATTAACCAATCACCGAAATGCGATCAAACCAATCGACCAATCAGGCATGGGAATGACGGGTTTGTTTACGTTTCTCGATCTACCTGACGTAACAAGAAAGTTGAACTGAAAGACGGAACTTCTCGTGGGTCAACCTTATATAGTTCAACCGTGGCACATACGTACCTCCGTTCCGGCTCTCCACGCAACAATTATCAACGAACCTCAGCATTCCGTACATTTCTTCCGGTGGCCTCTAAACTAAAATTACAACAAATTCAAAATAATAAACCATTTTGTAACAAATATTATCGCCTCGCATTAACTTGAACTGTCAAACAATTTCTATCCTCTACATCGGGAGGAAATTTCTACCTCTCAAAGAATTTTTAGCTCTACATCGAGGAATTTCTATCCTCTACATCGGGGAATTTCTACCTCTACATCCCCCGTCAGGAGGAGGGGGCGACGGAGGCGGAGGCACAGGAGGCGCTGAGGCAGAAGGTGCGTGGCCTCGAGGCCTACCTGCTGGACATCGCGCAGTGCGTCCTGCGCGACGCAGACACTCTGCGCCCTGACACCATCGCCACCGCCGCGCTCGCGCCGTCCCACGCGCACGCGCTGCTCAGGTACCCACGCGCTGCTCAGGTGCCCCCACGCGCTGCTCAGGTGCCCACGCGCTGCTCAGGTGCCCCCACGCGCTGCTCAGGTGCGTGCCCACGCGCTGCTCAGGTGCGCCCACGCGCTGCTCAGGTGCCCCCACGCGCTGCTCAGGTGCCCACGCGCTGCTCACTTAAGTATATATCATGTGGACTGGTAGTGTATAATTATATATATTATTCAAGCTCTTCAATTTTCATCAAAGCTCTTTGATTTTCAGCTAAAGTTTATGCAAGCTGCTCAGTATATCTGTAGATTGACCTAATGTAGGCAATGGAATATAATGCGTTATTATGTAGGTCAAAGTAACTAATCAGAGAATTTTTCGCGCGTTCTACTGATTACTGGTATTAGGAATAGGAAAAAATACGAAGGCAGAAGTAATCAGCATAAGCTTGTCAATCGAGACGAAAAGACAGCAAAAAATAGATAAGCTTTGAAATAAGTACAAATAGATTGATCAGCAATGGATGTAATGTTACATACATTATTTTTGCACTAAATTCAAGTTATCTCGCTTGAAGGTTTGTGATTCTTTAATATTGAAATAATTTTATTGTATATTGAGTTGTATTTTGTCTGTAGAACTTACACAAAAGTCGAATAAATGTCGCGTTTGAGCATGAATATTTTGTATGAGCAAGAATATTGTCCTGTTGTGTAGCATAAAAGATTATGAAGTGTGAGACAAATGCCCCCTCACGAGGATAAATGTTGTGTGTGAGGATGAATGTCGTGTATGAATATCGTGCATGTGAGGATGAATGTCGTGTATGAATGTCGTGCATGTGAGGATGAATGTCGTGTATGAATGTCGTGCATGTGAGGATGAATGTCGTGCATGTGAGGATGAATGTCGTGTATGAATATCTTGCATGTGAGGATGAATGTCGTGTATGAGTGTGGTGCATGTGAGGATGAATGTCATGTATGAATGTGTTGTATGTGGTGCAGGTTGTCCCGGGACAGCAGTGATGGGGGGGCCGTGGCCCCCGACCTGCCGCAGTCCACCGTGTCCGCCGTGCGCTCCGCCCTCGCTGACCGCCAGCTGCAGATACACGAACTGCAGGTACGTAGCTCCCCTCTTCTGCTCCCCTCTTCTGCTCCCCTCTTCTGCTCCCCTCGGGGGGACTTTGCTTGTCCCCTAGGAACTAGATACCGTCCCCTGGTCCCCCTATCCCCCAAAAGGGTATTATCCCCCGCTTGTATAGTCCCCCGCCTGTATAGCCGCGGGATAAGAATTGTACCCCCAGTATACCATGTGTAGAGACAGTTCGTACATTACGTGATCTTTATGACTGAGTATTTCACAATTCGTTATTAATAATATATGGATTATATGAAGATAAGCAATCTATTATCTGTATATATATACATATGGATTAATTTTAAGGATAATTAATGGATAAAAATTCTATTATATAATTATCATTAGTTTAATACTTGGATGAAGTAAGTATAATCCTCTAAATATAATATATGCATTGTATAATTGTGATCAATTAAATGTAATAATTAAGTGAGTGCAATCTATTTTAGGTGTTGCTAGCTTATTTTAGGTTATGTGTACTATATTATATGTAGGTACATAATTATACTGCACTAATCTTGCTGACCGTTTTAACGGCTTAAGCAGACATCGCACAAATTATATTAATTACAATAATTATGATGACCGTTTTAACTGCTGAAGCTGACATCGCAAAATTAGATATATTATACTGTACCTATACATAATTACAATAATCCTGCTGACGTTTTACAGAGCTGACGCTGACATCTCACTAATTATATTAGTTATAATAACTATCCTGACGGCTGACACAGCTGACGCTTCCATCTCACTAATTATATTAATTACAATAATCCTTCTGACGGTTTAACAGCTGAAGCTGACATCGCACAAAGATCAGCTGACGTCGCTATACATATACATAATTATACTGCATTAACACTGCTGACGGTTTAACAGCTGAAGCTGACGTCGCACAAAGATCAGCTTGGGTCGCTGCGCAAGCAATACGAGGCCGCTGACGGGACGGCCGTGGCGCTGGAGGCGAGCGTCGGGGAGCTGCGCGAGCAGCTGGAGGCCGTGGCCCGCGAGAGAGACGCTACCGCAAGGGAGAAGGAGAGGGTCTTGGAGGACCTGGAGGCGCTCCAGGGGGAGAAGGAGGCGTTGGAGCGGGCCAAGGCTGCTCTTAAGAGTGAGGTGAGTGAGGGGAGAGGGTCTTGGAGGACCTGGAGGCGCTACAGGGGGAGAAGGAGGCGCTGGAGCGGGCCAAGGCTGCTCTTAAGAGGGAGGTGAGTGAGGTGAGAGGGTCTTGGAGGACCTGGAGGCGCTACAGGGGGAGAAGGAGGCGCTGGAGCGGGCCAAGGCTGCCCTTAAGAGTGAGGTGAGAGGGTCTTGGAGGACCTGGAGGCGCTCCAGGGGGAGAAGGAGGCGCTGGAGCGGGCCAAGGCTGCCCTCAAGAGGGAGGTGAGTGGGGGGAGTGGGCGACTCAGCTTTTTGAGTGTAGGTGGAGTGGCCCGCCCATTCGTTGTACACTATATTATAGATAATGTATATTATAGTATAGTAATGTGTATTATACTATTATAGATAATGTGTATAATTATAGTTTTATGTGTGCACTACGCCCGTACCCTTGCAATGCTTGTGCCGTGTGTACAAATGTACGACACTGCAGTAGATGTCGTACAACTACGAGGATACTAAAGCGTAATTCAGCCATAATTCATGTTTAATTGAATTGTTAATTATTCGCGTCAGTACATATTATTGGGAGGCCGATTTGGAATTTATCAACTTGTAAATATCAATTACTGTGAAGGTAATGGTTCTGTTGGTATTAATTACTGTGAAGGTAATGGTTGTGTTGGTATTAATTACTGTGAAGGTAATGGTTGTGTTGGTATTAATTACTGTGAAGGTAATGGTTCTGTTGGTATTAATTACTGTGAAGGTAATGGTTGTGTTGGTATTAATTACTGTGAAGGTAATGGTTGTGTTGGTATTAATTACTGTGAAGGTAATGGTTCTGTTGGTATTAATTACTGTGAAGGTAATTATTGTGTCAATATTAACTGTGAAGGTAATGATTGTGTCAATATTAACTGTGAAGGTAGTGATTGTGCCAATATTAACCATGAAGGTGATGATTGTATCAATACTATTATTAACGGTGAAGGTAATAATTGCCACTATTATTTATTACTGTGAAGGTAATGATTGTCACTATTATTAATTACTATGAAGGTAATGATTGCCTCTATTATGAATCACACTAAACGTAATGACTGGCCTCGTGGCCTCAGTGTGAGGCGCACGTGGAGGAGTGTGAGCGGCGCGGGCGCGTGGTCGCTGAGCTGGAGGCCGAGCGTGGCGCCTGGCATGAGGAGCGCCAGCATGTGCACGCTAAGTTCTGCAAGGAGCGTGACGACGTCGCCAAGCATGCGCACACCATCGCCGTGCTCCACACCGAGCTGGCTAGCGTGAAGCAGCAGGTGAGTGTGATGACGTAGCGTGCAGCAGCAGGTTAGTGTGATGACGTAGCGTGTAGCATGTAAGTATGATGACGTAGCGTGCAGCATGTAAGTGTGATGACGTAGCGTGCAGCATGTAAGTGTGATGACGTAGCGTGCAGCATGTAAGTGTGATGACGTAGCGTGCAGCATGTAAGTGTGATGACGTAGCGTGCAGCATGTAAGTGTGATGACGTAGCGTGCAGCATGTAAGTGTGATGACGTAGCGTGCAGCATGTAAGTGTGATGACGTAGCGTGCAGCATGTAAGTGTGATGACGTAGCGTGCAGCATGTAAGTGTGATGACGTAGCGTGCAGCATGTAAGTGTGATGACGTAGCGTGCAGCATGTAAGTGTGATGACGTAGCGTGCAGCATGTAAGTGTGATGACGTAGCGTGCAGCATGTAAGTGTGATGACGTAGCGTGCAGCATGTAAGTGTGATGACGTAGCGTGCAGCATGTAAGTGTGATGACGTAGCGTGCAGCATGTAAGTGTGATGACGTAGCGTGCAGCATGTAAGTGTGATGACGTAGCGTGCAGCATGTAAGTGTGATGACGTAGCGTGCAGCATGTAAGTGTGATGACGTAGCGTGCAGCATGTAAGTGTGATGACGTAGCGTGCAGCATGTAAGTGTGATGACGTAGCGTGCAGCAGCAGGTGAGTGTGATGACGTAGCGTGCAGCAGCAGGTGATTGTGATGACGTAGCGTGCAGCAGACGAGTGTGATGACGTAGCGTGACCCGCTTTTACATCTCGCTGCAACCAGTGAGTTTAGGTTAGGTTTATTTGAGTGGAGAGTCAGAGCAAGTGTGGAGGTAGGACCATGATGGAGTGTTGTCTCCATGGAGAATAAATTGGTTGGAGCGGTGGGTTCAGGCTTACTATGGCTGTAGACACAACTTTATTGGGTACTATACCATGAAGCTTGTGCTTAGGGGATAATGAAAGTTATTATGGTAATGAACGATGCTGGCCACTAGCATGCAGCCCAATCGTACGATGTCCTTTATTCTGGATCAGATATCCTCTCTTTCCTCCTCCCCTCCTCTCTCCCCCCTTCTTTCCCCTCCTCCCCCCACTCCTGTCTCTTATACACATCTAGATGTGTATAAGAGACAGGAGTGTGATGACGTATGAGGGGGTGAGAGTGTGATGATGGATGAGGGGAGTGAGAGTGTGATGATGGATGAGGGGAGTGAGAGTGTGATGATGGATGAGGGGAGTGAGAGTGTGATGATGGATGAGGGGAGTGAGAGCGTGATGATGGATGAGGGGAGTGAGAGCGTGATGATGGATGAGGGGAGTGAGAGTGTGATGATGGATGAGGATAATGAGAGTGTGATGATGGATGAGGGGAGTGAGAGTGTGATGATGGATGAGGGGAGTGAGAGTGTGATGATGGATGAGGGGAGTGAGAGTG